TTTGGCTTAACAGTTTAACAGCTTGCCTACCAAGTTTCCCTGACCAGATCAATTTTAATGTTGTGCCAAATAAGTGTGTTATACATACACACACTTAAGGCACAAAGCGGGGATATTGTGGGAAGTTAACCCAGAGAAGGAAATATTAAAAAGGCAGGAAAAATATTGTTCACCAAAAGGATTTTGAAAAGCATTTTTTTGAAAAGCAGAAACCAAACCTGGCCTCATCTCTTTGCCCAGGGCAGTAGCTAGTCTTATACATATGCAGATGTGGAACCATCAGGAAGTTTGGAGCCAGGGATCTCAAGACAAAAGAAGCTCTTAAGAGTCATTAGCTCCATCACCTGGGAAGCAGGATATGATAATGGGATTAAACCACAGATATCAAGGCCTAGAAAAACACTCAGAAATAGCCTCAAAGTTCATGCCACAGGAACAGGAAACTACTCCAAGCAGGGCTGGGAGGGGGTATAAAAAGGCCTTCTACCCATGTGCTTTTTCTCTCTTTTCTTCTCCTCTGCTGCTTATATGTCTTCTGCAATAAACTGTAACCTTCTTCCCAAAGCAGTCGCCATGTTTGCTTATTTATTCCCGGCTTGGATGAACCAGGATGAAGACTTACTTCTAACAGTTTTGTAGCCAAATATAGTAAGCCTACACTTAAGGCCTTCTGCAAAGGTCCAAGAGCCCTTTTTTAAGCCTTCACACACTTGATTTGCAAAAGCCTACCCTAACTTATGGCAGTTAGCATGTGACAACTGTCTACCTCCAGGTCAGCTGCAATATCTTTGGATGTTATATATTTGGGGACATAAGGAAGGAGGGGGAATGGAATCTCACCCCTAAGGAAACCTCAAAACCCCTTTCTTATCATCCATCACTCCGGTTTCTCTACAGTGGCCAAGATCACCAATTTCCACCTCCCTAAACAACTTTTCGCTTCTCTCCCCCCCCCCCCCCTTTAGTTAAATAGTAAAACTTTCCGTATTAAGCAAAATAGGCATAGGCAGACACAAATCCCAAGCTGAATGATCTCCACGTTCATGTGGGAACGCCTCCAATTAACCAACTTCCCCACTGCCTGTGCCATCTTCACCCAACTTGTATCCACCTCCAATTACTTGCAGGCCTCTGCCTACCCAAACGGTGGGCATTTTTGGTGACTGGCAGCCTCGCCCATTACCCTGACAGTATAGGTCGTCTCCTCCCAGCCTGCCTGCTTTACATTTTCCATTTCCCGAAGCCTCACTTAGCAGACAAACGGGCTGCAGGCGCCTCTCCTCAAGGTTCAAGTCTTTTGCCTTCAGCTGACTAGCCCCCCCCCACTCCACTCACCACATACACACACACTACCCCGCCGCCGTGCACAATCACGGGCCACTTTCACCCTCCCCTTTAGGAACCCTGCCGAATCCTCCCCACGGTCCAATCCTCCACTGTGCCCCCCCCCCCCCCGCGTATACAAGATTCCCTCACTTCTGAAGGATCCTCCTCTGCCCGCCGGTCTTTCCCATAGCCACAATCACTTACAGTTTCGGATATCAGAGATAAATACTGCCAGGCCCCGCATCCCGTCTCCCTTGGAAACGGCCGGCATGGTCACAGTAGTGGATCGGGACCACGGCGATGCTCAGTTCCGCACCCGAACCTGGCCCAGCTGCACAGAACTGACCCAAACGTATCCGATTGGACCCTCGTTCCGTCCGTCACAAAACGTTTTCACGCCCTATTGGGTAGAGCTGACGCTTTCAAACCCACGGTGCTTTCTATTGACTGAAATAAGATAGCCTTCTAAGAGACTGGTCAATAGATTTAAATCCCGCCTGCTCTTCTCCGTATTGGATCCGGTGAACCTTAATGTCAAATAAGTGCCCTCTACAGCTCTACATTTTCCATTGGGCATAGATTAACAAGAGGCCCGCCTAAGCCTGCTTCCCCCGTTCCCCTTCGGTTTGAATATTTTGATAGATTTTAAGAAATGTCATTCAAAGGCCGCCCCGCCCATTTCCTCTTCGGTTTAAGTTCTGCTTCTTGCGAAATCAGCTGAACCTCCGCTCATTGCTGGGCGGAGAACAATTCTTGAAAGCTGTTATTGGGCGAGAAGTCCATGTCCTTCAAGCCCAAGTTCATGGTTTATTTGCTGAAAAAGCTGACGGTAGAACGGCAGCAAAAGGAAGGCTGTGGAGAAGAGGCTTGGAGACCGAGCTGTTTTCCCGGAAAAGAGCGATAGCGACCGTCATCAAATTTCAACCAATTGGCTTTGAGAGTAGAAGGTACAGAGAGCAAGGGAGGGGGGAGGCGATTGGATCCTCAGAGGATTTTCCTGTCTCCGTTAAGGGCAGAATTTACTAGTTTAGGAAAGGGCCAATGTGACTCTTGTTTCATTAGGACTAAAAAGCACAAGTATATTTCGGTTTATTTTTAGGATGCGCTACAATGTTACATATTCTCCAGTATTTACATTTCTAAAATTCCTACTCCCCCCCCCATTCATTTAATTTCCTGTTGAGGACATTTTTTCCCAGGAATACTTTTAATAAATCATTTGTCCCGCCTCTTGATGTGAGTATGAGTTTAGGAACTAAGGAAACTGACGGTGTGAGCAGTATTTATGATAGCCTATGGCTATCATTATGAAAACCTATGGCTTTGCTTATTTATTTAATAAATTTATCTTGCTACATAGATCCTTTAAGTTAAGTTACCTGAATACAGCTTCAAAAACAACTGAAACGACGTAAATGCCTTAGTATGCATATTACACTAAGTTATAGGAAGGTTTTGATTTGCTAAGATAAAAGAACATGTTATGGTTTAGTGTTGTGTGGAAACCAGCCAATGAATAACTTTATTGCATTCCTATCCAGCCTTTGGGAGTTCAAATTGGCATGTATGGAGCTGTTTCCTCATTTTATGGCCAATGTAACTGTAGGAAGTCACACACCCCCAAAGAAGGACATATTTTGGGGTGTAAGGTTTTCCACTTAGCCTCACAATTGCCCCAGTGTTACTCAGGAATTTAAAAGAGCCAAAGCAACTCCTGAGCCAGGTTTCAGCAAGCAAAGAACTTTTATTTTGATCAAAATAGAGTTGGGTGACCCCATCTCTCTTCGTGGCTGGTAGAGAGATGAAGGCAACAACCAGGAAAGATGTCTTCCACCTTTTATACCTTTCCAGAACAAAAAGATCAGGTCTTGGTACCAGGCATAAGATAGCACAAAAAAATAATTCCTAGATGATGACTCATACACAGCAACCCAGGCTCCATCCGTAACTCCTTTTCCCCCTCCCCTTACCGTGCTCTTTTCATGTGTGGGAAGTCAGCCCCACCAGAGAAGGAAATATTAAAAGGGCAGAAAAATATATTTCCTCAAAGGATCTTAAAGAGGCAAAAAGGCATGCCCAGTTTTTCTTGATAGCCTCAGGTCCCCCTTCCCAAAGCAGAAACCAGCTCTATGCAGATGCAGACCATTCAGGAAAGTTGAAGCTAGAAGATTAAGAAGACAAAGACACCTAAAATCTACATACCCCACCCAAAGTCTAAGACAGGACATAATAGGATTAACCCACAGATGCCAAAGGGACACAGGTCAAAATACATGACACAGGAAATACAAAGCCTCAAAACAGGAACAGGAAACAACTCCAAACAAAAGGCTCCAGAGGGTATAAAAACCCACTCCCTACATGTGCTCAGCCCTATTTTCTCTCTTTTCTGCCAGAGCCATCTTTCTGTCTGGCTCTCCTCTTCAATAAACTGCAACCTTCTTTCTAAAGCAGTCGCCATGTTGTTTATCCCCGGCTTGGACTGAACCATGATGACTTTCCTTCCAACAATTTGGCACCCCAGAATGGGACTCCAAGCTAACTTCTCCAATGGACTGAGACTGGTAATCCCCATCTTGCCGGCAGCAGACCCCTTGTGTCTGTGGATGGGTTTCCCAGGCCTTGCCCATGTGGAGCCAGGGTAGTAAAGGGAGTTTTGAGTTTGAGCTTAAGGGCTGCTTTGGAAAGAAGGCGAAGGTGCGTACCTCTAAATTTTAACTTTAAAGCCCAGGGGAATAAAGGAAATGTGTGTATGTCTGTGTGTGTGAGTGAGAAGACCCTTTTTCCCAATCACAGTTGGATTTTGCTCCCTCTGGTCTTTCCTAACCGCAGAAAGGATCTGTTCAAGTGGCAGACCCTGGAAAGCAGGGTCTGGCCAGAGCGCAGGACCTTTTGTTAGGGAAAAGGGAGAGTATGTGCGAAAATGGAATGGAATGAGTGAATGAGAGAATTGGATTTGGGCAACCAGCTGGTAAGGCCCTGGAAGCAAAGTCTAGTTCAGAAGGTGGCAGTATTGACTGTGTAGGGGGCAGAAAAGGAGGGGTCAGTACTCATCGCTTTCCAAAAGGCACAGGTCTTCCCAGACCCACGAGGGATCTGAAAACCGTGACAGAAAAGGAGGGGTCAGTACTCAACGCTTTCCAAAAGGCGCAGGTCCTCCCAGACCCACAAGGGGTCTGAAAACCGTGACAGAAAAAGAGGGGTCAGTACTCATCGCTTTCCAAAAGGTGCAGGTCCTCCCAGACCCACAAGGGGTCTGAAAACCGTGACAGAAAAAGAGGGGTCAGTACTCATCGTTTTCCAAAAGGCACAGGTCCTCCCAGACCCACGAGGGGTCTGAAAACCGTGATAGAAAAGGAGGGGTCAGTACTCATTGCTTTTCAAAAAGGCGCAGGTCCTCCCGGACTAACGAGGAGTCCGAAAACCATGACAGATAGTTCCCAGGGAAGGAGGTGCTCGTACTTCGTCAGGGAACCGAAGTCCTCCTGGACGCTTTTTCGTCTGAAAACCACAGTTTTTTTTCTTTTTGTACCTGACTGAGCCAAAGTGAGCCCCACATCTGAGAGGGAACATGGGAAGCGGCAGTTCAAAGGTGACAATTAGGACTCCCCTAGGAGATTTGCTCAAAACGAAGAGCAAGAGAAATATGTAAGAAATGGGCTTTGCTCAGGGCTTTGCTGGGAAACCAATTCGGCTAAATAAAGGTACTTAAAGGGAAAATAAGAAATAGTGATTTTCTCTCTCTTTCTCTCTCTTCTTTCTATGCAACCAAGTGGTAGGTTTAAGATTTGTGCCTTCCTTAATTTGAGTTAACTGAGATTTATGGTGGGAATGACCAGGATGTGTAAAACTAAAAGTTCTGTTTCCTTTTCTGTTCTCTTTTCCTTGTCTTTGTGTATATATGTGTGTCAAAGTCTTTGTGTGTGAGGTAAATGTGACTGTTAACTGTCTCTAATCCAAAGAGAAAAGAATTTTAAAATTCTGCTAGAAATTCTGCTTAAAACAACCCACCAAAAAGGAAATACTCTCACTCTGTTTGTCTGGCCAACAAACAGAGTGAAGAAAAATGTGTTTGTTTGTTTGTTTTTCTTCTTCCTTTCTCTCTCTGTACTCTTAAGAACAGCCCAAAGTTACCAGGAGGGAATGTTCTAAATTCATCTGCTGGAAAAGTGTCACTCTTGTATTTATTGTATGTGTTGTAAATGGGTTTTATCTGTCTATCCTTTTCCTGAAACATGAGGTGTGTCTAGCTACAAGAGCCTGCTGAAGCTCAAGTTTGCTTGTGTAGGGAAATAAACTTCTTAAGTTACTTTTCTTATCCTATCACTAATTGGTGAAACTACTATGAAGCTAACCCTGGAACATATAAGCATTTTTCAATCTCTAAAATAATGTGGTCTATTTTAGAATAAATGTTAAGGGTAGATTCTCCTACCCCTGGCAAATTGCACACCTTAAAATATTAGGCTTTTAAAATTATTTGGAGCTGTCAGCATTCTCAGGCTGCCCAGCATTTTTCAAGTTGCAACTCCTTAAGCCCTTAAGTCTTCAATATGTTACAAATGTTCAGTTCAGAAATGAGACCTTTCATTTATGTTCTCTTACCAGAATCCAGCCTTTCTTTTTTTTCTTTTTTTTTTAATTTTTAAAAAATTTTATTGACAAAACAATTAAAACAAAAAGGGACATGACATGACGTTCCAGTATACATAATCCTAGTAATTCGTTCCTTATCATATTTAAAGTTCTAAATATACATCTCTCTACATATTAACACATAATTTTATATACCACAAATTTAAACTTTAACTCAAAACCCGACCAGTTCTTCTTGACTCATACCAACAGTAAANTAAATCTTTCTCACTTCTCCTGTTAAATCAGGAAGGCTAGGAAGAGTCCCTGGTTCCTTCCCATCCTGCTTCTGCTCCATCCTCGTCATTGTCTTAGACTGGGCCCTTATAGCTATTCCCACAATCTTATCCTCCTTCTTGAATCCTTTTCTCTGAGTCCAACTTTCAGTAAGTGGAAAATACATTCCAACTACCAGGCTACACAGCAAGTTAGGGATAACTCCTACCTACTCTTTCCCTGTGCCTGTATTTTGGATTTGACCACTGCGACCATCTCAGTCTGCCCAAACACCCTTATAAGAGGCGTGATGCTGCCTTTTTTTTTTTAATAAATGAGGCCATATCAATGTTCATCTACTGCCAGTATCTACTAAGCCTCTCACAGTGATCCCATTAACATTTGCTGAAATGTTATTTGTTTTGCACTATT